ACCATTTCTCAAGTCATCACCCTGGGGATTAGAATTTCAACATATGAATTTTGGGGGACACAAACTTTTGGTGCATAGCACCAATCTTTCTTGATTAGCACACAGACTTTGTGCTTGGGTTTTCTTTCGTTTTTTGTCTGTTTCATTTTTCCGAATTCGGTTGAAATTGTCTGAACCAGTTTATTGTTTACTCTTTTATGTGTTCCGTCTTTGAGCTGATGGGCTCCACGGGAGATGTCCACCACCTTGGCAACACGTTAAAATTACAGATTCTCTAAGCAGTCAAATGACACTAAACTTGTTTGTCATCTCATTCCAAGCTTATCTAAGGAATAATTTTGTTGTTTTCATCAAATATTCAACTCAATCTGAGCTTTGACCATTGCTACAAAATGCTGACTCAGAATGCCTGTATTCTTATAAACAAATGCTGCCACTTTTGTGTCTGTGAATTAGCATAAAGAAGGCAATTTGTGAACCTGTCAACCATACTCTGACATCCAACAGATATAAACATCTCGTGGGTTGCTTTTCTTCATCAATACATGGTAGCATTATCTTTAGGGCTTAGAACTCTGTTTTAAGTGGCATGTTATAGAGAAGTGCTTAAGAATGTGACTGTTCCTACTTAGGCTCTAGAACTAAGTTATTTCCTAATCTGTAAAACAAAAATGACAATTCCAGTTTACTCTTTTGCTGTAAAGATTGAATGATATACCTTATGTAAAGCACTAGTACAGCTCCTGCCACATAGGAAGTTCACAATACATTGTTATGTTATTGTTGCTGAACATGATATAAGCATGCTGTCTACCTTTGTAGTGATTTCTGCGTGATAGAAAATTATCTGTGACCCCTCATGCAATTAGTGAAGGTTTGAGATGATGTATTTTTTGATGAAACACAGATGACCTTGCATTTTCCTGCAGTCAGTAATCTCTGACAATTAGCATTACTCACCAAAAGAAGACATTTAGTATCTAAATCAATAATATATATAGTGCCTTTCCCTTTCCTTTTGACTCAAAATAGCTTGGATCCAACTAACGAAATTTAATTTTTGTTAAATAAATCTGTAGGCATCTATCTTCTACTCATTACATTGTATATTAAGGCGAAGCGACTTTGTATGTGGTATGCACAGCATTGTATGCATCTGCTGTTGCAGTGTTTCAGGACTGTAGTTTGGCTCTGTGTATGTACAAAGTGACTAGGAAATTTATCATGAGAAAATGCTGACTCAAAAATGCCTGTATCCCCTAAGTAAATATTTATCAGGAAGATCATCGTAGACACTTGGAAGGGAGTAAAGAAATTATAGAATTCAATTTCGTAGCAAATTGCACTGGTTAGAGCATCTCTAGAGTATATGATAATTTCTGCAGTGCGAGAAATGACATATATAATGAACACCTACCTATCATTTGACAGTTTCTACAAATAATCTCACTAGCAGAATCAAGTCCACTAATGTTCACAAATCTACTGGAATTCCCGCTGCTCCTTACACATGTTGTACTTTAAACAGAAGTAATGTAAGAAGCCATTTATTATTTTACTCATTCAACTGTCAAAATATTGAATAGCTGTTATATTTATCTGGAGAGATAACCACAACATGTATGAAGGGTATTATATATTTAAAAGAGTATATATGTATACTATGTGTGTGCATAAGTATGTACCTATGCAGGAATAGGACAAGTCAGAAAGAATCTGTACTAAACAATCACCTCTTGTTGACAGAATTTTAATGAGCAAGGTGTGGCAATGTTCATTTTCTTTATTATATAATAACAAAACAAGTAGTATATCTGATGTACATGTTTAAAGGTTTAACTACAATGTAGTAAATGAAGGGTCAGGGACAAGAGTGGAAACAAGAAGGGCAAGAATGTGTATTTCAACGAAAGGTAATGTTGGCTTTCACCAGAGTGAAATGAAGTGAAAATGAAAATGTAAGAATGAATTTGGAACACATTTTGATTGTAGAGACAGCGATCTCTGTATTTCTGATAGAGAGGGAGCAGGGTGAAATAAATGTTGACTCCTGGTTTTTGGCTTGAGAAACTGAGTAGTTGATGATGTTATTTATATATTCAGAATTTGTGCATTCAGGTAACTCTAAGGTGTGCAGCGTGGCTAGAACGTACTATCTGTGTTAGGCCATTCTTGCATTGCTATTAAAAAACCTGAGACTGGATACTTCATAAAGAAAAGAAGTTTAATTGGCCCACAGTCCTGCAGGCTTCACAGGAAGCATGGTGCTGGCATCTGCTTGGCTTCTAGGGAGGTGTCAGGAAGCTGACAGTCATGTCAGAAGGCAAAGGTGGAGCAGGCATGTCACATGGCGAGAGCAGGAACAAGCGAGAGTGAGACAGACAGAGAGAGAATGAGGGGGAGGGGAGTGCTGCACATTTTAAATGATCAGATCTTGTGGGAACTCACTATTGTTAAGACAGCCCCAGACCATAAGAGATCCGCCCCCATGATCCAAATACCTCTCACTAGGCCCCACTTCCAGCATGGGGGATTGCATTTCAACATGAGATCTGGGCAGGGACAAATAACTAAACCAGATCACTCCTCATCCATCTATCCATTTTCAACTGTCCACCAAGCATTCACTGCATGCAAAGCCAGGGTTCTAGATTCAGGAATGACAAACCAGAGTCTCATGCTCATGAAACATAGTGAGGATATTGGCGGGGTGGCGGTCAGACAAGAAGTAAACAAGGAAAGATTTCATACGTCACAGTATATATTTTATATGAATTTAACAGTTACAATAGGCCTTACTAATATGCTCAGTGCATTAGTTTGTGTAGTAGTTATACTAGTCTTACTATTCAGCAAGCCATAGACTAGAGGATGAGGCAATGCCTGATTATAGGTGCCCTGCAAAGAGGATTGGTTTTAACAAAGTATTCTTTAAAGATAGAGATTTAAGTGAATTGAAAACTGAGTTGAAGTCTGGGTTGATCCTGGCATCATAAGGTAGAGTCCCTTCCCTTTTTCCCTCCTTCCCTCCCTTGTTCCTTCCCTCCCTCCCTTCCCACCTTCCTTCCCTCCCTCCTTCTTTTCCTTATTCCTTCCTTCCCTCCTTCCTTCCTTCACCTTCCTTCCTTCCTTCCTTCCTTCCTTCCTTCCTTCCTTCCTTCCTTCCTTCCTTCCTTCCCTCCCTCCCTCCCTCCCTCCCTCCCTCCCTCCTTCCTTCCTTCCTGCCTGCCTTCCCTCCTTCCTTCCTTCTCAGGGTCTCACTCTTTCAGCCAGGCTGAAGTGCAGAGGTACAAACACGGGTCACTGTGGCCTCAACCTTCTAGGCATAAGCAATTCTCTCACCTCAGCCTCCAAAGTAGCTGAGGCCACAGGCACACGCCACCACACCCAGCTAATTTTTAAAATTTTGTAGAGATTGGTATCACTATGTTGCCCAGGCAACATAGGTCTCAAATTCCTGGACTCAAGCCATCCTTCTGCCCCGGTCTCCCAAAGTCCTGGGAGTACAGGCATGAGCCAGTAACAGTTTTCTAGCTAGTCTTAGTTTTCTTCTAAACCAGTCTTAGTTTTCTAACTAGTCTTTAAGTGAGTTCAGAATTCCTGGGGCGGACTCTCTCACTGGTTCAGCATGTTTAAGAGTTACTTTATGGGACTATAAATAATGGCAGTGTTTATAAATAATGACAGTGCAACATTTAACAGAATTAATTTAAAGAAACTCACACATCAGAAATTGTCCTTATTTATCAGCCTAAATACCTTTTTGTTTTTTTATCTATTCTGAAGAATTTTGAAGATACTTTCTAACTTTACTTTTTAAGTTACTCATGCTACATACATTTTGTTTACCTTTATACCTAGGAGGGATTTCATTTTCTCTGCATTTCCTACAGACTGGCAGAAGATAGAACCCAGTGTTTCTCCCAAGATATAGCAGTACCTTGCAAGGCAAACCAGAAGATCTGCATCTATTTTTTTTAATAATTAATACCACAGGATGTGGTCTTTGGCGAGAGCTGTGGAACTAGACTAAGAAGTGTTCTTCAGGTCTCTGGGCCTGTAATTATCCAAGGCATACATGCCAGATGGGCCACGTGCCATCGCCATGGTGACCCATGGCAAAGGCATCTCTCCCCTGGCAACTTGAGAACAGCAGATCCACTATGGCTGATCTTGTGTACACCTTCTGAGTGCTTACTGTAAATACAAAATGAGGGAAGCAGAAGCTCTCTCCTGGCTATGACAAGAGCTCAAAGCAGAGTTACTGGCACTTCCGTGTCTATTACTATAACAAGAAAGTGCCTCCCCCTTGCCAATGACAAGTTTATGTGCCTATGTTAACTAAATGGGAGAACTGTGATGTTTCTTAGGGGGAAGGGTTGAGAGACACTGTGGGTCAATGTCTATATTCTTGCACCCTTTGACTTTTCAAGAAATCATAAATATCTTGATGCCTTTTTTAAAAAATAAAGAGGCTCACTCTGTTGCCCAGGCTGGAGTGTGGTGGTCTCAATTCACTGTAACCTCCTCCTCCCGGGTTCAAGCAATTCTCGTGCCCCAGCCTCTTGAGTAGCTGGGATTACAGGTGTGCGCCACCATACCAGGCTACTTTTTTGTATTTTTAGTAGAGACAGGGTTTCATCATGTTGGCCAGGCTAGTCTTGAACTCCTGACCTCATCTGATCTTTCCGCCTCAACCTCCCAACGTGCTGGGATTACAGGTGTGAGCCATCGCGCCCCACCAGATCTCGATGCCTTCTGAAATTCCTCCAACTCTGTGCTGCTGGGGCTGCAAGGTGTCTGGTGGGGTTAGATCAGAGTCATTTTTGTCCCATATATCAGGATATTTTTCTGCTATAAAACACACGAAACAACAACAACAATAATAAAAACAGCAGTGACCTCAAGCAAACAGAATAGCTGAATAGAATGATTTGCAGAGGTTATTGCCAACTCACCTACCTAGAAATCTGGAGATAAAAAATTCTGAAATCACTTACTCCGACAGCTCAGCAATGTGAGGCTGCTGGGTTTTTCTTCACTCTGATTGTGTTGGCTGTCTCCTCATGGTCATGAGGTGGGCTGCCCAGGCATCCAGCAGCGTTTCCCTACCCAGTAGTATCCAAAAGCAGGAAAGCAGGCACGAAGGGCTCTGTCTCAGAAGTCTATCAGGAGACTTCCCAGTATGTCCATTGGCCAGGCGTGGGCCACATGACACCCACCTCCTGGCAGAGGGCACTGGAGTTACCATGAATGCCAGTTAAGGCTCAAACCCTGAGAACACTGACACCTGATACCCCAATACTATCAGAGTTCTTTTGGCAAAGAAAGGAAGGCATCTAGGAGTGTCTGCTGGCTCCTGAGAAAGGATAGTCATTGAAGGCTTGTTCTTTGCTTGTTTCTTGAAGCGGGTGAAGCATTTCACAAGATTCTGTTAGCTTTCTCATTCTCCCTAAAATTCTAAATCTCCAGAGATTCTCTGATGACCTGTATTTTTTCTCAGTTTCACTTGCATATGCCAGTAAGAACACATATGAGTGTTCTTCAAACAGCAAATTCTGCAATACTAAGTTTTGTGCATTTATTGGTGTAACAGCCTCTCACCCTCTAATTATTTCATCCAAGTATTTCTTTCTTAAGATCTTTATTATCCTCCTACTGTGTGTCACATGTATTCTCTGTCCTGCAATAGCACATCAGCGTAATGAGACATCCCATAACTATTTGTCTACCTGGTCATTTTCTTCCATGTAATTTGAAGTGCCATAAAAACAAATTTCAATGCAACAAATTTTACTCAGATAAAGGAAAGAAGAAGAACTTAACTAAAGAACTGGCCACTAAGATCTAGGGTGGAGAGAGAGAAGCTGTGTGAGTAAGTGCAAGAAGAGCCTGAGGAAGGTGCACGTGGGGGGAAGCAAAAGAGAAACACAATGTAAGAAAAGGGTAAGGAGTTTTCATTTCTATTTCAGACAGGAGAGGACCATTTCCCTCAACCATTTTGGACTTCAGGACTTCTGAGTTTAATTATTAATAAAATCTGGGGAAGTTGACTCGCATATGTTCTCTTATTCTCTTTTTAGAAAGTCCATTTTGTGGGCTGAATATTTGCACCCTTCCAAAATTCATATGTTGAAACCCTCACCCCAATATGTTGGTGTTTGGAGGAGGGGCCTTTGAGAGGTGATTATGCTTAAGGAGGTCCTGAGGGTGGGACAAATGTCCTCTCTCTGCCACAGGAGGACACAGTGAGAAGGTAGTTGTCCACCAGCCATGAAGCGGGCCCTCGTGAGGAAGCAATCAGTACCTTGATCTTGGACTCTCCAGCCTCCAGGACTGTGAAAAATGAATCTGTTGTTTAAGCCACCCGCTCTGTGGTATTTTGTTATAGCAGTCTGAGCCGACTAAGACAGTCCAGATCCTATCAGATTCCATTTGCCAGGAAATAAACTGATTTTCTTTAGGGGATGGGATGGGATGGGATGGGATGGGATGGGATGGGATGGGATGGGATGGGATGGGATGGGGGCGAAAGTGGTCTCCTGGTTGTGCTATGATGAAAGGATCCCCAGGTTCTCGGCCACTGTTTGTTTGCCAGGTGCTGTATTTTCAGCAGGGCTCCCAGCCCCACGGTCCCTCTGAGGGAATCTGCAGCACAGCTGGTTTCTCGCCAAGTTAGTCCCTGATGGCTACATCTCTTCGCCTTTTGTCCACTGTGTCTTTTCCTGCTCACTTTACCGTTGTGAGTTAATAGCTTTTAAACATTTATTTTCTCACATTTTAGTGAAAATTCAGGAGAAACAGAAGTTAAAAGTATGTGATCAGTCTGCCATTGTAGACAAGTTAGTCTAATTTTCTTACCTAATATTCTTTGTTAAACTTTAGCATTCAAGTCACAGTAGCATCTGAAGATGAGTGGACAACTTTCACTCTTATTATTCTTAGACACAGTATGTATGATACTAAGAATATTAAGAACTCTCTTTTTCTTAAAGATTTGTCATAACAGAGGTTTCGATCCATCTCGTCCTGATGTTTTTTGCAGGGAGAGTAAAGAGTTTGCTTCAGGGATTTTATCTTTTCTTCCTTCTATTTTGTAACTACTTTTTTTTTCATAATTGATTGTAGATAATTATCCCATTAGTCATTCCAGAGAACCGACTTTAGTTTGTTAAATTACATCTGTTTTTTTTTTTTCCAATTTCATGAACTTTTATCTTTATTATTTTGTTCCTTTTGCTTTCTTTGGGCTAACCCTGTTCTTTCTCTAGCTTCCTGAGCTGAGCACATAGCTGATTTATTTTCGTATTTCCTGTTTTTTTTCACATACATGTATGATAGGATAGAATTTTCCCTCCCAATGTTGCTTCTTTCTTTCTTTGTTTAGACAGAGTCTTACTCTATCACCCAGGCTGCAGTGCGGTGGCGAGACCTCGACTCACTGCAGCCTCTGCCTTCTGGATTTAAGCGGTTCACGTGCCTCAGCCTCCTGAGCAGCGGGATTACAGGCACCTGCCTCTATGCTCTGCTGATTTATTTATTTATTATTTATTTTAGTAAAGATGGGGGTTTCATTATGTTGTCCAGGCTGATCTTGAACTCCTGACCTCAAGTGATCTGCCTGCCTCGGCCTCCCAAAGTGCTGGGATTACAGGCTTGAGCCCTATAATATGTCTTTTTATCTGTGTTAGACTTCTCCTCTTACTCTATTTTTCCAGCATCAGTACAAATATTTTTGTCATTCGTTTCCTTTTGGTATGCATTTTTCCAGTATATCTTTTGCCATCTTATTATTTTTGAATTTGTATTTGTTTTTAGCGTTTCATGTAGGGAACATAGAAACATATATTTGGCTCTTGTTTTTGTTTTTCCAAGACAACTAAATAGTGTGTCTTCGATGGGTGTGTTTAAATTATTCATATTCATTATGATTATTGATGTATCAAGACTTATGTCTGCTATCTTATTTTGTATTTTTATTCATATTTTACCCCTTGCTTCTGTTTCTTTTCCTACTTTTGTGATTAATACATTTTTTTCCCTTTTCTCACCCTGCTAATTTCAGAGTTGAGTTATAGATGCTTTATTTTGAGTATTTATCTTTTAATTTTTACCACAAACATCAACATTCTAGGAAGACTCATGTCTTTAATTCTGATACATTCTAAGCGATTTCCCCCCACTAAGTTCTGCCTCATTGCCATTTCCCTTATCATGTACTTCTGGAATTCTCTCAGGTGGATGATGGAGTCTCTCAAGGCTAACTTTAGCTGCAGCCACGTATCTGCCCTTCTATTCTATTTTATCCCATCCCATCCCATCCCGTGCTATCCTATCCCATTCCATCCCATCCCCTCCCATCCTATCCTATCCTGCTTCCTTCAGTGTATATTTTACCTGAGAACAAACCCCCTGTAAGGTTCCTGCTTCAAAGAAGCTCTGCTTCTAAAACCCACTGGTTAAGTAATTTGCTCAAAGCCACACACTAGTGAAGGAGCGCACCACTCCCTTAACTATGTCATTGTAGCACCCACTGCAAAGGGGCTGTTAAAGCAACTCCCTCCTCTCCACCATCCCAGTACTACTCTGGCAGCCCTCAGTGGATGGCTGTCTCCAGCTTCCACTCTCACTGGACTGCTGAATCCTGATGGTCTGTAGGCCTTGTCTTGGCATGCACAGCTGGTCCCTTTCCCAGGTCCCCTTCAGCTGCTCCTGGGGAATGTCCCAGCCTTGGAGTCTGGGTGAAGTCCACATGGGGAGCGTGGGAGTCTGGGCTTCCTCCATCTTCCTTTCAGCTTCTAGTCCTGGCAAAGAAGTTCTGTCCTCCTTCCTCTAAGGCCTTCTCTTTTTGGTTCTTAATAGCCTTTTCTTCTCCTAAAAACCTTCCCCTTGCATATCAAAAACTTGGGCTTTCAAAAGTATTGTTTCTGATCTGGGATCAAGAACTTATTTTGGAAATTAGCACTGAACACTGACTATTTATTTTTCTCTGGATTTCAACTGTCCTCATTCTCCTTCAGGTTCTATGGGAGCTGAACAAGGAAGAGAAGAAAAGTACAGACATTTGTATTTCAAGATGCCTTTCTGCCATAGCACTTACAATACACTGGCACACAGCCTGGCACAAAATATGCATGCTGTGCATGCTATTAGTATGCTTTTAAAATTATTGAGTGATCTTCAGCAGCAGCATTTGCCGGGACAGCTTCCATTACCACAGATTTCTTCTTTGTCTGGTGAGCTCTGACTTCCTCAGAGCTAACTGCTCTATAACCCCAATCTCTCTCCCCACATAGATATTCAGTGGTCTGGGCCACGGTTCCCTTTAGCATTTCTTCCAAGGACCCTGGTGGCGTTTGTACTAATGGAACTCCTGGAGACCTACTGTGTCTGCAATGAAGCCGCTGCGCCCCTGCAGACGTACCCTTCTCCACGGCTGTTATTGAATCACATCGAAATAAGCACAGACGTTTGTCCTCTTTGCTTGCCTATTGCCTCTGTTTTGCTTATTACCTTTTTTTTCTCTTAAAGATCTAGGAGTACAATATTTGAATTTCTGTTTTCAAAACCAAAAAATGAAAAAGCATAAGGCAAATCAAAAATTACTCAACTACAGCAATTTGAAGACTAACATCCTGGCCTTCTATCTGTGGGGCTGTAATGACTCGGAGGATGAAAATCAGCGTATGCAAAGAAGTACGCGTAGTAAGTTGCTTCATGAAATATTGGTGAGATTCTGCTGATTTTACCCGTAGGAGGCTGTGTGCTGGTGAGTACAAAAGAAATGTAAATTACTTGGTTGGTTTCCTGTAGAAGCTCTTAGTTTCCATTGAGAATAGCCACATGAAGTAATTGTTGAACAATATTTAGGTAAGTGACAATCTTTGGCCACACCGCTGATACCATCACCCCGTTACTCCACTGCCCCACATGTAAATAATATAGGCAGCACCGACTGAGCATTTACTTGGTACCAGGTACCATTCTAACCCCTTGGCATGCGTTTGCTCAGTTAATCCCCTAACTCTGTAGACAGGTAGACATTGCTACTGTTATGACCATTTATGCAGGTAAGAAAACTGCAGCACAGAGGTTGATGATAGGACTCTCATCTCTAGGGCATAATTCTGCTCTCTTCCTACTCTTTGTAAAAGCCATTATATCTTATAACGTATTATTGTGATTTGGTGCTTCTCAAATTTTTGCAGAGACTACGGTTCTCATTTCAGAGTAAGCGCTAAAAAATGTATAGGTGTCGGTAAACTTTGGGAAAGAGTTCTTCAGTCCCTTTGGGTTCTCCATTGGCCTCTAGATTCTAAACTTTTCTAAACCTTACTATTAATTACTCTGCCTAAGAATTACCATCCATAGGATCCTAGTTATCAGACCTTGCAAGCTAAGAAAGTCAGAAGCTAAGGTTTTCTTTAGGCTCAGCAGTTGGTTCCCTGAGCCAGGGCTCCACGTGGGAATAGATAGGGCTGAGTAACCATGGCTGCTGCATGAGAGAAAAGGGCCAGTAGGAGTTGTGGGAGCATGGGAGGACCTGAAGTATCAAGCTCAAGGAGGAACCTGGAAACCAGAAATTGGATCCAAAGCAAATTGCCAATGTGGAATTGGCAAACAGTCAGAAGGTGTGGGAGGCAGAGCTCAGCAGTGCCTGCGCATGACATGGAGGGGTGAAGGCTGACGAACCCTCTTGCATGGTAGTTCAGACACAGGCCTCTGTGTGTGTGTGTGTGTGAGTGTGTGGGTGTGTGTGTGTCTGTGTGTGTGGAGGGGGGCAGAGGGTAGGGCTGCCTGTGCTCAGCCCACCCCAATCAGGGCCTCCTTGGTATATCCCTGAGCTCCTCTTCTACTCTCCTCCCTGCATGATCCCATGGAAGGACTTTGATGGGTGAAGAGAGGCATCCAAGTAGGAAGGGAGGTGTGACAGTAATGGGGCCTATTTTGAGAAGTGTTCCCAAGCCAAAATGTAAAATATCTCATTCTTATGACGTATAGTCCTCTGGTGGCCATGGTGTTTTATAGCCAGGAATTGAACACTTCAAGGTAAATAGGTATTTTGCAGTCTGGACGTTATATAGATACAGAGGGGTTACTTTATTCCTTACTCTCTTACAACTCATTTTGGCAATTGCTTATTTATAATCTCTCCTTTTCCCCTCAGGAACACAGGCAGTTTTTATATAAGGCAATCTCAGAGACTGAGGGCTACCATTATGTGAAAACCTTCAGTTTTAAGTCATGGCCTTGATGCAAAACTCCTCTCCATTTAATCCACAGTCCTTTATTTCAGGGACCTTTGGAAGAGGCTTTTTCATTCAGTGCAATATTTAAAATATTGAATCCAGGTCGGGTCCAGTGGCTCACGCCTGTAATCCCAGCACTTTGGAAAGCCAAGGTGGGTGAATCACTTAAAGTCAGGAATTCCAGACCAGCCTGACCAACATAGTGAAACTCCGTCTCTACTAAAAATACAAAAATTAGCTGGGCATGGTGGCCCATGTCTGTAATCCAAGCTACTCGGGAGGCTAAGCCAGGAGAATCACTTGAACCCAGAAGGCAGAGGTTGAAGTGAGCTGAGATTATGCCACTGTGCTCCAGCCTGGGCAACAGAACCAGACTCTGTCTCAAACAATAAAATACAAAAAATCAACAACATTGTATCCATGTGGCACACAGATTATTCTTAATACGTTAATTTTACTCTTGCGAGAATTTTTAGTTTTAAATTCTTTTGGGCTCTCTCTCTCATATATGGAAAAGAAATTTATTTATTATAGTTCTGGAGGCTGGGAAGTCCAAGGTCAAGGGAGCCTTCTCGCAGGTGGAGACTCTGTAGAGTCCTGAGGCAACGCGGAGCATCACATGGCAAGGGTGAGCTATGTGTTTTTTCATTTTGCTTTGATTTATTTTCCTATTTTTAATTTCTTTAAGAGAATGGATCTTGCTATGTTGCCCAGGCAGCATATGAACTCCTGGCCTCAAGTGATTCTCCCACCTCACCCTCCCGAGTAACTGGGACTATAGGCATGGACAACTGTGCCCAGCTTTGCTTTGATTTTTGTTTTGAATAGATCCTATTTACCTGAATCTGTAATATGATAAGTAGGAATGAGTCTAGTTACTCATTGTTCAGAGGGCATTGCTGTATATTTAGATGATACTTTAAATGATCTTAATATTTAAAACGGAAAATAATGCCGTTGTGTAGCATGCCGAGATCAGGACAAACATTTCATATTATTTTTGCGCTTGCTGGTTAAATTATCAAAAATGTAACATAAATACCTAGTTGCCAGTAAAGATTCCATAAAGTGGGAACTTTTAGGTGTGGCTATTAGCAACGTTAATCTTTTGAGAACCAGTTTTGGAAAATAACAAGGCAGTTTGAACTGACCTTGCAGTCTGCCTGGTGTGAGCGTGGCTCTACCACACATCAATGGTGAGGCTTGGGGCAAGATACTTACCTTCGAAGGCTGAATTCCCTCTTTTGTAAAATGATGAAAATGATAATAAAACTTAATTTAGAAGAATTATTGTTGGGATTAAATAAGAATAACAATTATTGCCGGGAACATCAATTAAGCAACTATTCTAAAAGGATTAAAAGACTGTTTATGCAAAGGTGTTTATTTTTCATCATTCATAATTCAAAAGCCTGAAAGTCTGTTAAATGTTTATCAATAAGAGAATCATTAAACACATTATTATATAGCTTCTTGGTGGAATGTCGTGCTGCTGTGACATAAACACTTATAAAGGGTATGCAGCAAAATAAAATTAATAGAAATCCTTAAATAACATAAATGGAAAACATAAAAAACAAAATTTATGTATAGCATTATGAAAACGTATAAAATATTAATATAAAAGAAGAAGGGAGAGTGTTCACAAAATGGTACCAGGGTCACTGAGTTATACATTTTTCCTATTTTTAAATTTTTCTGTTACATTATTATATTGTCTTTATAATTAAAACAGCATTATTGTTCATCACTTTTATTTTTTCTATTTATAAAAATGCTTACCTTAGAGAACATAAATAATGCTGAAAATTGTGAAGGATCCAATTAAAATGAACCTTAATATGACCATTAGCATTTTAACTTACATCGTTCTATTTTTATGCGTTACACATATATATTATGCGTATATGTATATGCATACATACACAAAAATAAAGCAATAGTATTGTTTTATTATCAATTTACCTTTCTGCTTCTCCAGCTGTTGGTTTTATGTCTCTTCATCTCTGATTTTTTTTTACAGAAGTTTGTTCTCCTTTTCCCAGGAGCTTTAAATTTCTGTGTCCTGCTGGGAACACCAATCAGCCCTTTTTTGAAATGTTCTCATGTGTCTTGTCAAAAATAATTACCAGAGGTGAACTGTGCCTCCAAAACTTCCAGATAATACTTTTTCCTTGTGGTGCTGTATTTCCACCATAGATACTGTACCATTATTGTGGTTGTTTTCTCTTGAATTATCCTTAGGTGTAGTGAGACACCCCCCAACCCTTGGTCCTGTGCACCTGTACTTGGGTCCATGAAGACTTTTCTCAGATGGAAGGCAGTAGAGCAGGTCAATGCACTCAATTATTTCCCTTTTCTGTTATTCATCTTGTTCAATTTTTCTGGATTTAATTGGAATATTCACCTGTTCTCTGCCTAGTGCTCTCAAAATTAGGGAAACACTTACATTTTGTATAAGTACAGACTCAGTTCAACAGATAGACCCAGGGAAAGCTCCCAGCCAGGGTTCTACCCTCCCAGGACTCTTTCTATTTTGGCTCCTACCCATAGCATTTTATGTGAAAGGAACTATCTAGCCATGGATAAAATGTATTCCCTTCTGCTTCTTACTTAGGCATAGAACACAGATGCAAAGAGCTCACTTAACAGGCTGGGTTTTTACTGATGCCTGTGATTCATATTGTCAGAGAATTGACTGTAGGGCTGGGTTGCTCTTCAGCTTAGTATCAGCACTGAATCGAAGGAAGCAGTGCCCCTTAGGAGTGGGCAGGAGGCTCTGCCCATAAAACAGATCTGCTTCTCCATTGAGCTGGAACCTCTGTACAAAGGTAAAAATGGAATGATGATAACTCGTGGAGCACTGAACGGATCTGATGAGGATAAATAGGTGCATCAGAAATCAGTGCCTCGGCAGTAATGGCCATACACGTTTCCTTTTTCTTTCTTTCCCATCAGTTGTAGAACACATATGCCCAGGCTAAAAGTAGACAGTGAGGGAAGTTTGAATGTTTGTTCTACCTACTTTGTGAAGGGAAATCTTATATTTTGAAGGGCAAAGCATGTACAAGCCTGTTCTGCATTTCAGTCCAGCTGCAACTAAATATGCTTGGTAGTAATTTTTAGGAATACCTCTAAGAACTTTCCAAAATGTTACCTGTGAGCCTGGTTTTCAGAGCTGCCTTAATTTTTTTTTTTTCTGGTGACTGTGGGAGAAGAGTCTCAAAAATTTCTTTTAAAATTAGAGGTCCCTGTTTTCAATTTAAATAGTTTGTTAAATGTACTTTAAAAAACTCATGACCTTTTATAACTTCTCATTAAACTTGATGCAGAAACACAAATAGTTCTCAAAAAAACACTAGCTGACAGAATCTTTGAGGAATTTTCACAAACCGTAAGATTCGTGGAGATGCACTGGAGAAAGCTTGCCTACCCATCACCTTAAGACACAACATTCTGCCTCGTAAAATGATGGAAATAAGGACACCAGACATTTCATCTCTTCTCCACTCTATGACCCCTGACTCAGAGCCAGGATTTGACTCAACCAGAGAAGCTGGGGCCATCACTTTACTCTGTGGGTGCCCTTCCCTGCCACAGGCTTCTGCATTGTTTCCTGATACTCAGTCAGAATGAGAACCAACTAGTGCTGAGTACATTGTGTCCAGGAAGGTAGTTAACAGGACAGGCCTTTGTTTAAGTGGTGATACTGATTCGTATGTCAGAGAATTGGCCCCAGGACTGGTGGCTCTACCAGAGCCCTGCTAGAAGCAATGCCCCTCACCTGTGAAACAGATCTGTTGCTGCAGGTGTTAAAAAGTGGATTAAAGCACCCGCTAAGTGGACTGTCCAGGGAAGATCTTCAAGGTAGCATACAGGCCCAAGTTAAGGTTATGAATCGAAGAGAAAGGTGTTTTGCTTTGTTAATAATGACAAAGATAAAGAGGCAAAGCTGCGAATGAAGCATGAGGCAGAAAGCAGTGCACTGCAACTAAAAGCAGCAAGAGGGAGCAAGGATGCCTGAGAGGATGCCGGTGACTCAGTCTAGAACACAGAGGCCAGGAGCTAGAATCTGCCTCCGAGGCGAGGAGGAAGCCGTGCACAGCATTCTGGGGAGTGAACATTCCCACACTTCCTTGGCCAACAGAGAACCTCAGTCTCAGTCTGATTAAAATGATCTGGACATAAATCCTCCTCTGCATATAGTGAGATGACCAGTCGGAGGAGTCAGGAGATGCCTGTTGCGGGCGAGCAGAGTCACACGTATTTGGGTTCTTTACGGAACTCACAGGCAAACTTAATTTGAAAGGGTCTTCCTGTATAACACTGTTTTAATTATAATGATATATTCTGGAGAACAGTATGATTTTTGGTAACTTAGAGAACTGCCCTTTTAAGGCTCCCTGACTTTTTTTCTTCGGTTAAAGACTGTTCTCCCCTCCCACTGCACTCCTAATCTTGCATTTTGAAGTGGGCCAAAGCTCCCCTGTGCCTAACTCCTGTTTATTACTCTTTAGTAGAAAATAACTTCGGGATAGCAAAGAACAAAGGATGAAATACACAAATAAACATGGTGGAAGCATATATGAATTGCTTATTATTTACCGTATAGGTGAAAATTATGAACTTCTACGCAAGATTTTATATTATGAAATTGTGTTCTGTAAACTTGAAAAAATCTCCCAGTAATGTCATTACACTTAACTTCAGAGTATAAACAATGCAAATGCACAGGCATTGTATGAAACCAAACGTGGGATGATTTTCCATATACGTATTAGTAATAGAAAATGAGTCATGCTTGAATTGCAAAATAAGTGTGTGGTAAAGGCCAGTGATTTGAAGTTTTATGTCAGAAAAATTGCTGATCCAGCTGTCTCACTATGCTGTGGGATTAACCAATCAACTCACAACCCAAATGATCAGGTCAAGGAGTAATTTATACTTTAAAAAGCAAAAAAATGACAGTAATTAAAAAATTACAATGAACTTAAGATAGCAAAAAGACAAATTAATAACAAAGCACATCTTCCCCCCGAATGAAAAGTGTGCAGTCTGTATGTGTATGCACAGTGGGGTATTTGTAAAGTTAGAGACTTGTGTGGCAGCTGAACGTAAAAAAGATACTAATTTGGGATTCTCAACAAACTCAAAGAAGTTGCTAATTTTAGTCTGTGAATGATCAAATTTTAGTTGTCTTGAGTATTTCAATTAGGAAGCTATAAAAATAGCTCTCTAACTGGTAAGGTTCTGCAGAATTATGAGTCAGCCACCAATAAGAACTCACAAATGGACTTCCATGTCTCTGAGGTCTTCTAGCAGGTTAGCAGGTTAGCAGGTTAGCAGGTTAGCAGTTCCCCAGGACTATGCTTGGTGAACCCTTTAGCTAATGTGTCCCCGGTTTGGGAGGGAAGACACAGAAAGGACTTGCTTGGAGTTAGTACCAATCTTTAAGGCAGAGAAAACCTGACCCGTGAGGAATGAAATATAGAATGATGTAATATTCCTGGACCACAAATTGAGAATTGCTCTTCAAAGCACCAAAATTTTTAAGAAGCATTTTTATTGGAAGATAGTCCAAAGATGTGTGCTAGTCATTTCTTTGCATTTTAACTAGAGTATACTCATACTAATTATGTGGTCTTTGTCATCACTATTAATATCAGTTGCAAAACGCTGTAATAAAATGATACCCATAGGGTTTTCTAAGAGTGGGATACTTGCATCTGCATTACATAATCACAGTCTGGTCCTTGAGTCCAGAAGTTTCAACAGTTTTTTCCCAGTCCTCTTTCTCACTGTCAGTGCATCAATTCTCACCTCTCACTTCTCTGGTCACCTTGCCCATCCTTCTAAACTGATGCTTCTGATGTGAATAAAAAACTATCTTAGAAAAAATTATTAAGTTTTAAAGCATATTTTAGGCCAAGTGTGGTGGCTTAAACCTGCAATCCCAGCACTTTGGGAGGTTGAGGCGGAAGGATTGCTTGAGCACAGGAGTATGAGACCAGCCCGGGCAACATGGAGAAACCCTGCCTCTAACAATGACAACAACAAAATTAGCCAGGAGTGGTGGCCACTGCCTGTGGTCCCAGTTACTCAGGAGGCTGAGGTGGGAAGATTGCTTGAGCCCAGAAGGTTGAGGCTGCAGTGAGCTGTGATCGTGCCACTGAACTCCAGCCTGAGCGACAGAGCCTGACCCTGACTCAAAAACCAAACCAAGACAAACCAACAAAAAAGCATGGTTTAAGTGTGTTTGGGTTTTGTGTTAGTAAGAGCTTTAAAAAATTGTGATTCTTTTATGAATACAATATAGGGAATCAACAGCTTGGATTCTGAGGCAGCATTTTGATGGCACAAACAAGGTTTTTTTCTTTTCTTACATAATCAGTTTTAGATTACCATTATTATTATTATTGATTTTAACAATAACAACACGTTACATTTTTTTAATGATATTGTTCAGTTTGTAAACATTTTGACCATCGTTTCTGAAACGGTACTTGCCAAAATCCTAATAGGCGGGGGGAGCTAATAGTCATTCATTCATTCATTTGTTCATTCATTCATTCATATAATTACTGATACTGACATTTCAGGTGCCAAGCATTAAGGAAACCAGGTCTCTGAGAGGTTATACAATATGGAAAAAGCAAATGCTCAGTAAGAAAGTGAGATCCAATTCTAGAGTGCTCTGTTCAGTAATCTTTCCCATATAACAGGTATCCAAATGGTTGCATTTTGTGGGAGTGAAAGGTAAACACTATTTAATCACCTGTATTAATTTTCTGAATTAAATACTTCTATAGAGGCAGCACTTAAGGCACAGACAAATTTTTGGCCACTTATAAAACCAGAGCCAAGGTGGTCAGCCCACCAGGCTACTGTTGGGATACGATAATTGACTAGGATGTGATCATTGTATAGTATTCGTCACTTACATACAATATTTTTATCATCTTTGCTATTTTTAGCTCTGAAAACCCCACATAGGCAGAAACAGCTTCTGGCAGAATCAGTCACTCTTCTGAAGTCAGTAGAAGCCTTTTGTCTAGGAGGGGAGGTGGATGGTTCATTCCTAACATGCAACACACCAGGCCTCCGTGATCTTTTCGTTTCACATTCTTTAAAATGGGGACCATCTGAATCGGTCCAGCCTGCTGGGAGTCCCAAGACAAAGATATTTTTATAATTCCTTAAATTTCCAAGTATTCTCAACTTTTTTCCTGGAAAATGTTTTTTTCTTTGAAGGAATATATTCCTGGATCCTTGCTCAAATGTGGCTATGTCAGAATTTTGGAACAAATAGGCGTCTACAATGTGCTCCTCCCTGCAATGACAGAAGTCGAGAACTCTGGTTAAAAAGAAAGAGAAGGATAAAAAATTGACTTTCATTCATAGACTAGTAGAGCTGGAAGGAACTTTCAGGAATTGATCATTGAGAAGAACAGTTTTTCTCTTTGGTTTCATGGTAGAATCACCTGGGAAACTTAAAAGGTTCCCGGCACCACATCTCAAAGATTGATTTAATTGCTTCCTACCTACTCCAGGAAGGTGGTCAGGACCGGGTTAAACAGAGATAGACCCTGACTGAGAACATATTTTTCTTGTTCAGGTACATTGATCATGATGGCATCACAGCTTAAAGTACAGAGCGCTTATTTTGAAGTGGCAGAGTTGATCTTGGGCAAGACTCTTTCTGGGAGTAGAGGAAGAAGATCAGGAATAAACCTTGTGTTTAGAAGAAAGAAATGAGAGGTACTGAGTTGCTTTCCTCTTCTTCCATATGCTGAAACGGAAGAAATGAAAGAAATCTGGAAGAGTCACGGGCTCTCTGAATTGCTAGAAAACATGGGACATGAACAATGATGTGTCATATGGTTTGATTGAAAAGGTATGCTTTAATTGAACAATTATCAACTAATATTTCTAATACAAATTATCATTCTATTATTTTTTCTACAATCCAGGTAGTTCTACAAGCCACATTAGCAGCAAAGAGTATTAACAAATGAGTATGCATTCATTTAATACCCATTACAAAGGAGGATGAAGTAATACTCATTGCGAATGAGTATTCACTCATTGAATTCCCCAGATGGCAGTGACAGGAATTATTTTCCTTTACTAAGTACAGAGCAGTTATGAAATGTGCCTGTGGCCTTTCTGCAAGTGGCAGAGTAGAATACAAGGCAGGTCCTCAGGCTCCTGAACCTCAGTTCTCAAGCACAGTGCCGTTCTGCCTTCCAGTTACACAAACTCTCTCAAACACAGAACTCTTGTTATTTCAAAAACATCTCTTTTGCTCCTTAGCTTTTCAAAAGAAGCCTATTTTCAAAGTTATTATTACCAAACACGTATTTAAACTGGTCAACCGCTTTTCTGAGTTAGCCATCGGAGGTGAGAGAAGAGAGGGAGAAGTGAAAGTCTCATCCAGACAACTGCACTGGGATGAAGGCCACGAGCACTGGGGACTGGAATAAGATCTTGCCACTTCTATGCACTCCACAGCTGTAGAGTGGAGAAGGGGCTTTTTCCACTACCAAGAAAATACCTGCGATGCAACTCAGCCGTACTCTCTTGACAAATGTAGTGGCCAGGTTCATCTGTGTGATTGAGAATAATGATCACACCAAGAAATTAACGTTAAAAAATACATCAGTAAGATGGAACAGAGGATTTTTAGGACAATGAAACACTTTGTATAATACTGATGGCGGAGACTTGCTATTATGAACTTGTTCAAACCCAGAGAAAATATAACACCAAGTGTGAACCCTAATGAAAGCTATGGACTTTGAGCGATCATGTGTCAGTGTAGGTTCATCAGCTGTGACAAATGAATCACTCTGGTGCATTTGTGAGTGTTGATGATGGTGGGGGAAGCTGCATATATGTGGGAGGAGGAAGCATATGAGAAATCTCTGTACCTTCTACTCAATTTTGCTGTAAACCTAAAACTGCTCTAAAAAATGAAAAACCTACTAGTAAAAAAAAATGCTGTAAGACATTATGCTAAGTGAAAGAAGCCAGGCACAAAAAGCCACATATTGTGTGATGGCGTTTATATGGAATATTCAGAAAAGGCAAATCCATGGAAACAGAACACAGATTGGTAGTTGGCAAGGTAGTAGGCAGGAAAGGGAAGGGACAGCTCACTGGGTGCAGGGCTTCCTTTTAGGTTGATAAAACGTTCTGGAACTAGAGAGTGGTCCTAGTGATTGCACCACAGTGTAAATATACTAAAAGCCAGTGACTTACATACCTATGACAGGTTAAAATTGTGAATTTTATGTTATGTAAATTTTTCCTCAATTAAAAAAATTAAAATACTGCAGCACAAGAGAAGAAAATATCTCTTTGAAAACTTAGGGAAAACCTTGTTTTTTAAAAATTATGTACTGTAGCTCTTGCAATGGAGACGGTCATTTCTTCAGATAGCTCCCCAGCTGTGGAAAATGAGCATCCTCAAGAGACCCCAGAATCCAACAATAGCGTGTATACTTCCTTCATGAAGTCTCATCGCTGCTATCACCTGATTCCCACAAGCTCCACATTGGTTGTATTTGATACATCCCTGCAGGTGAAGAAAGCTTTCTTTGCTTTGGTTACTAACGGTGTACAAGCTGCCCCTTTATGGGATAGTAAGAAGCAAAGTTGTGTGGGTATGCTGACCATCACTGATTTCATCAATATTCTGCACCCCTACTATAAGTCAGCCTTGGTACAGATCTATGGGCTAGAAGAACACAAGACGGAAATTGGAGAGAGGTGTACCTCCAGGACTCCTTTAAACCGCTTGTCTGCATTTCTCCTAATGCCAGCTTGTTTGATGCTGTCTCTTCATTAATTCGGAACAAGATCCACAGGCTGCCAGTTATTGACCCAGAATCGGGCAACACTTTGTACATCCTCACCCACAAGCGCATTCTGAAGTTCCTCAAATTGTTTATCACTGAATTTCCCAAGCCAGAGTTCATGTCCAAGTCTCTGGAAGAGCTACAGATTGGCACCTATGCCAATATTGCTATGGTTCGCACTACTACCCCCGTCTGTGTGACTCTGGGCATTTTTGTACAGCATTGAGTCTCAGCTCTGCCAGTGGTGGATGAGAAGGGGCGTGTGGTGGACATCTACTCCAAGTTTGATGTGATCAATCTGGCAGCAGAAAAGACCTACAACAACCTAGACGTGTCTGTGACTGAAGCCCTGTAACGTCGGTCACACTACTTTGAGGGTGTTCTCAAGTGCCACCTGCATGAGACTCTGGAGACCATCATCAACAGGCTAGTGGAAGCAGAGGTTCACCGACTTGTAGTGGTGGATGAAAATGATGTGGTCAAGGGAATTGTATCACTGTCTGACATCCTGCAGGCCCTGGTGCTCACAGGTGGAGAGAAGAATCCCTGAGCTGGGGAAAGGGTCAGGCAGCACCAAGGCATATGCCCAACTCATTGTCTGCTGGAAGCTCTGTGGGAATCAGATGAAACTTGGGAGAATTGTGACTGTTCCCTGCTCAGGGCCTCCTGCCCTTCTATCTGGGAGCTAGAGAAGGTGTAGGGGGAGGAAGGAGAATGGTTTTATAGCTACCCTTACCCTCACGCATACACTTGAAAAAACTTTCAGACTCACCAATTCTAGCCCCTGTCCTCTTAGATATAGCCGCCTTTCTGGGTGAACTGTAGGCTCTGTGTCTCTCAGACAAATTCTGATCTCTAAGAGATCCCCAGACCTCACCTGCCTCTGCCTCTGTCTCGGCCCTGATTCAACCCTAAGATAATAATAGCACAGCAAAATTCTTCATAAAGATATTTTTATTCACCTGTTCCATGCTATATGGAGGAACTAAATGTCCATTTAGTGGCATTTCTTCCCATAATGTCAGTGGGGAGGACTGTGGGGAGGAGGGCCTTTGGGTTCCTGTGCTGTGTGCATGTAAAGGGAGATGGGGTTGAGTGGAGGAGGAGGGCAGTGTGGTTAGCAAAGGTTATTGCTTTTTATGGCAAATCTAATTAAATGACAGCAATCTCTTCATGGTAAAAAAAATTATATACTGTAAGAACTAGTTTAAAAAGAAGCATCCTCTGTGATTTCAAGTAAATGTGAGAAGTTTTGATATCTTGAAGTAGGTGCAGAGAGATGTAGTGAGGCTATTCTGAGGTTGAGACAACAGGATGATGTGAAATGAAAGTTACGTGAGATATGGAGAGTTTGAAATGGCATTAAAATTGAGTGGCAGAATTTAAATCCAGATGAAGGGGCTCCAAAGCTGAGCTGACACTGTGGAAAAGCAAATCACTGACGCAAGGGAGAAGCTTGAGATGCTCTCATGAAATGCAAAAAGAAAGAACAAATGTAAGACAGTGATGAGCGGGTAGGTAATAAATGTGGCTGAGAACAGTAGAGCCCAGAACAACAGAATCAATGATCGAAAACATAGTTTAGGATTTGTTATTTTTTTCGGAGCTAAAACAAAGGCCAACTTTTTTTTTTTTTTTTTTTAAATATACTCCGTGATTTTAAAAGCAAAGGAAAGAAAGTATCATATAAATATCAAACAAGACAAACTGGTTGCCTGCAAAGGAACAAAAATTAAGCTAGAAATAGATTTCTCTGAAGCATAGACTATCAGAAAATGTTGGAAGAAAGTCTACAGAATTTTGACAAAAAGTAATGTGAAATGAGTAATTTTCCTAGCCAGTTTATCATATGTATGAAGGCAAGAGAGATATTTTGAGATAAGTAAGAGCCCACAAAGTACAAATTCATATCTTTCTTTTTAAAATTGCTTGAGTTAAATGGTACAACCACTCTGGAAAAGTTTCACAGTTTATTTTTCTTTTTTGAGACGGAGTTTCGCTCTTGTTACCCAGGCTGGAGTGCAATGGCACGATCTCGGCTCACTGCAACCTCCGCCTCCTGGGTTCAGGCAATTCTCCCGCCTCAGCCTCCTGAGTAGCTGGGATTACAGGCACGTGCCACCATGCCCAGCTAATTTTTTGTATTTTTAGTAGAGACGGGGTTTCACCATGTTGACCAGGATGGTCTCTATCTGTTGACCTCGTGATCCACCAGCCTCGGCCTCCCAAAGTGCTGGGATTACAGGCTTGAGCCACAGTTTCTTATAAAACTAAACATGCATTGCTGTATGACCCTGCAATTGGATTTTTGGCATGTGTCCCAGGAAAATAAAAACTTACGTTCACCTGAAACCTGTACATGGATGTTCCTAGCAGCATTATTTGTAAGACCCCCAAATAATTATTTGTAAGCTCTCCAAACTGAAAATAGCCAGATGTCCTCCAAACTATGAATGCTTAAATGGTGGTCCATTCATAGCATGGGATATCAACCACAAAAAGAAAGAAACTATATCCAGCAATTTCAATAAATCTCCAGAGAATTATGCTCAATGGAAAAAGTCAATCCTTCAAAGTAACGTACTCTAGGATTTCATTTATGTAACATTATTGAAATGAAAACAATAACAACAACAACAAAAAAAAACAGAGATGGAGAATTGATTAGTCCTTGCCAGGGATTAGAAACTGGATAGAGTGGTGGAGAATAAAGGAGGGGGTGGGTGTGGCTATAAAAAGGCAAGATTTCTTCTTCAAGCAACAAAGAGTCAATGCAATAGTCAAAAGATACCTTTTCATTTTCTTCTTCTCACGCACCACAGATCTCAATATTCAAAAGTCAAAAGTCAAGCTAACAAACCGTTGAAAAAAATATGTTTTGTCCACCTACCCTGGCATGGTAACCTTCTAAGCAATCTGGAAGCCTAAAGTCAAACACAGAATTCTTGGGCTCTTGTGACTTCCATCATGGAGTAGGGCAGTAAAGTGAGAACGGCTGTGGCCCAATCCAGCCCCCGGCCTGCCTCCTTTGTTTTCCAGAGGGACTTGGTGAATGCCTGTGCAACTACCCGCCCCCCCACCATGCATGCCTGCCCCTCAAACCCCAAACACCTGCCTTTTGTGCACCCACTGGGTCTGGGGATGTACACACATCCGGACAAGATGACCTTGGAAAGAGGCTGCCCAGGTAGTAATCTGCTCCTTTCACTTAGCACACCCTGGAGACTTTTCCGAAGTGTTCTATTTTCATTTACAGCCAGTGTTTTTGCATTGCCACCCAATCTCAGGTTGACCAGGGATCCTGAAGAAGGTGCCTTGAGAGATGGGGGAAGCAGCGGAGGACTCCTCCCTTTCAGTTCAGGAAGTACAATTTTGCTTTCAGCTGCTTTACATATAATGCGCTTATGTCATATTTTGTTTAAAGACAGGAAGCTTTGTCCACAGCCAAAAAAAGAAAAAGCTTGTACATTTCAACTTGAATGACTGAACTTGGTCTCTATTGTTGGGTACTTAAGTTGTTCCCGTATTTTTAAAATTATAAACACTTTTCTCATTTTATCTATCTAATTTATATTCTTCCACTAAAAGTCGTTCAGATATCAACCCATCCCTACCTACCACAGAAAGCCTTTTGTTTTTCTTTCTTTTTTTTATGTTCTCTTAATCTAGTCTGGAGTTCCTTCCCTCGTGTTCAGCAGAAGCCTGTACATCGCTCTATCATACCACCCTCTGTTGCATTTTAAATCTCTACACTTTTCTCCTAGGGAGAGGACTTTTTGTCTTTAGGAAAATGATTTTTCTTTGAATTTCTGCATTCCCACAGAGGAGGGACTCACTAATGCTTGTTGGATAAATGGATTTTCTGTGCAACTCTTCTTGTGCATGTTTCATGCCCATTAAATCAGAGGATTCTTCAGCAGGCATATGGATCCCTGGGAGGGTTTGCATTGATTCTTGGGCTATATCCGCAGAGAACCTAACAAGCTTCCCCAAGCTACTGACGCTGCCCATGTGAGGACACACTTCCGAGAGGCACTGCATTAACATTCATTTCTCATTTGTCTTCCTGGGAAGATTTCTCCTAAGAGAGTAACATGTTCTGATAGCAGATGGAAACATGTGGGTCTAGTTGGATGCTCCCTTTTACCTTAGTAAAAGAGTGAGCAGAAATTCTGATTTTGTAACCATTTTTTATGAGTTTGGTTACTTTGAGTTACTTACCTTGAGCAGTGGAAAACAGATAATTAACTTTGTAGTCTTCATTTGCTGTGGTCAGCTCTTGGGATATGTGAACCCCATTAAGGGGCTGGCATTATGAGGCTCTCTGAGCAGCTGGCTGGATAGCTTTCCTGCCAGGCCTCTCTATCTTCTGCCTCATCGTCTCTGCAACAAATGAAGTATCTTTTTCTTCCCAATCACTTCCCAAAACTGCTTACAGATTTATGTCTATTAGCATGTGTGCTTAGCCACAGAAGGCTATCCTTCAACAATCGACACTTGGAGGACTCGTTGAAAAAGACCAAAGTAAATATAGCTGTTATCACAAGCAGAGGAATCCAAAGTGTAGAGGTCTCTCAGGATGAGGGAGGAACTGGTAGAAGCATTGTGGTTCCTGGAGAATAAGTCATAGCAAAGATGTAAGGTAGGGAGGATGCAGGGCAGGTAACAAGAAGAGGCTAATTACCCCCAGAGCTGGCTTGTAATGAAGGGCTGACTATAGCTGGGAAATTGCCTTCTTTTGATTCTCATGCATTTAAATGGTGCTAGAGAGAAAGAGTCTTGGGTGCCCTGGCTCCTGTCCAGGACAGTATTATTTAATAATATTGGGTGCTCCTTTTTCATCTTGTAGAATCTGCAGGGTGGGAGGTTGGTTCGCAAAAGTCCCTGTATGTTGTTTTAGTACCTTTCATCCCCAGTGACTTCACAACATGCTGTCTATCTTCAGAGCCTGCTTTGGGTGTGTGTGTAGGGGCAGTGGTGGGCAACAGTAGCAAATGTTGGTGCCACCACTTTACAACTGAGGCCAAAGAAGCATCCAGGGAACATGTTATTTGCTGAAGTCCACACCAAGGGCTGCAGTCACTGTACTCCTTGGCAGCCCACGGAGGTTCAGATGCCCAGTGGTTGGCAGCACTTTCAGATTCTCGTCATGAGAATGATTCATTTAAATACAATATGAGTACGTGGTTTTCATTTCCTCACAGAATTGGCAGAAATACGGACAACAAATGTAAGCTGGCTTCGGGTTCTAAGAACAATTACACCCTTACCAAATGGCTTGGGTCATAGTCATCCTTAAACTCTGTCATGTATATTTCCTGTACTTTCTCAGGATTTTCCCCCAAGCAAGAACAAAAGGAAACATCTCAAATTTTCTGCCACAATGCTAAGGAAATACTGTAGAATGGAGATTTAAAGCTAATATGCACCTCAAGTCCTGAAGCCAATACTGAAAACTGTTGCAATAAATATGTGTCCCAGGCAGATCTATGCAGATCCCACTCACCAGCCCTCTTGACTTCCCTTTTCAGCCATTTAATTCACAGAGTCATTTAATTCAGGGCTACTGGGGTAGGGGTGGCGAGGAAAAGCAGGTTAGCTCTTCACTCCCTCTGGGCTTTTGGGGGACATTTGATGTGGGCAGGGATTCAGCAGGGGTCTCAGGAGATGTTTCCTAAAGCACAGGCCTGCAGTGTTTCCCCTTCTGTCAACTAAGGTAATGACAACTTCCTACCTGCATTCCCAGAACTCGGGAAGGTGAAGAGTTTTTCCATCACAGTTTATACGTCAGGAGAATGTAAGGAGCTCCCACTCCTTCATTCCGATTAGTTTCTTAGATCAAGGTGCAGACTCCAACAGTTCTCATAAAGGCATCCATCCACAGCTACCTTTTAAAGACAATCACTGTTGGGTGGTTAGAAAGAGATCCTCTCCCCCTTCCCCAACCACAACACAGTCCCTGAATCAACCAACCAGCTAAACAACCCACCAGCTTATCAACCAGCCAACCTACCAACCAGCCAACCTCATTCGTTAATACCAAATGCAACATTTCTCATAACCAGTGTCTGAAAGGCTGAAGCTCTGCTCAAGCTCTGCTTGAACACTGAATTTGAATGCCATATTAGCTGTCTTTACTAAATCTCAGAGTTCTGTGACTATCTGAATTAAGGTGTCAGCAAAGTCATGCACTATTTCTAGGTCAAGGCAAAGCCAGAGATATGTGAACCTCCAGGTAGGCTAATAATCTGGTGGGGGGGCCTTAATATGATGTCTTAAAAAGAGCTACTGGACTTCCATTGAGGGAAGAGGCTGAGAGTGACTGCGAACAAGTCCTGAGAAAGATCCGGGGTCTCCTGTGCAAGCCCCTCCCAGGAAACAAGATGACCTGTCTGCCTCTCAGTTTATAAACTGTCATCCCTGAACCACCTTCTTTTTTTATTCTAGTAGATTTGGCCCCATACATCCTTTAAGTGGCCCATAAAAATTCTTCCGTTCACATATAGTTTTCTGCATGAGAAAAACTCTATGAAATGAGGCATCCTTTATTTCCTCCTACTTCCAGTCTGGTTTGAGGTCACAGTGGTGTTTTTCTATCCCTTATAGACTAGAACCTTGTGACCTGCCCGTAGTCTAACTCTGCTAATGGAAATAGCAATTAAAAGTCTTTGCAATTCTCGGTCCAATAAATTCAGCCACATGTTCTAGAGTCTCTCACTGTAAATACTGGTCCAAATACAAAACATACCGCTTTAGCCCAAGGTTCAAATGTTACCTCCACTCATCAGGAGCACTTAGTTATATCTTATAAAAACAGCAACAACAGCAGCAACCAAAACACACCTCAGCTGTTATGCTGACCATGCCCACAAAATCCATCGCTGCTATCTGCTTTGCTATCTAGCTTAACTGGTAAGAATTATTTATCCAAATAGAAGCCACGTTGGTAATAAAACTGACCCACAACCCTCTTCATTAATGTATCACCAGGGCTAAGAACTTGGGGTCAGAGGAGCAAACCACAGTAGATTTTTGTGGGGAATGTCAGGCCTTTAATTTAATTACCAAAAATGTATCAGGGAATAGCATAGGGGACATATAAACAATAAACTTGCCACTAGAGTGTAACTCCGAAGTTGGAGGTTAAAAAAACAGAAGCTCGAGAGTCATCTGAAGTTTAGTCTTACACTAGGACGTTTTGACAGAAATCCTAAAAACCAAGCTATAACGATAAAGCTAGACTCACTGATTATTTACTCTAGATAAACAATGTAGCGTTTAGGAAATCCAGTCATCTACTGTTTTAGAATCCTTTTAAGTGTTTTTGCAGGTTATCTGGGATCTAGCCACAGGTTATCTCTTCCGCTTTTGATCTGTCTGCAGAAAGTTTGGAGAGAAGGAACTTCCTTCTTTGGTTTGCGGGCAAAATTCCTGAGACTGGGAATACAAACCACCATTTTCTAGGCTGTAGTTAAAAACCTGCTAGCAGGCATCATGTACAAAAATTAACTCAAAATGGAACATAAATATTGAACCTAAAACTACAGAACATTCCGCACAAAATGCAGGACAAAGTGTAACCCTGGCTTAGGCAGAGATTTCTCAGATACCAACAACACAAACCATAAAAGAAAGAAAGAAAAATTGAACTCCATCAAGATTAAACACGTTCATTTTCTGAAAGTGACTGTCAGGAGCATGAAAAACAAGTCGTACACAGGGAGAAAATATTGCAAAGCACGTATCTGACATAGGCCTTGGGTCTGGAATACATAAAGAACACTCAAAACTCAATAACAAGAAAACAAAGAAACAACCAACCAGATTTTAAAATAATAAGCAAAGGTTTAAATAGACATTTCACTCAAGTATATCACGTGTATCACTCAATTTTACGAATGGCAAATTAGCACATGAAACGATGCTCAGCATCATAGCATTGCAGAAATGCAAATGAAAACCACAATGAGATACTACTGTACAGTATTAGAAAGGCTATAAATAACCCCAAATAAAGCAAAACGTAAACTAGAAACACTGATAATACTGAGTTCTGGTGAGAATCAGGAGCAACGGGAGCTCTCATTCATTGCTAGCGGAAATGCAAAATGCCGTAGCTGCTTTGGAAAACAGCTTGGCAGTTTCTTACGAAGTTAAACATACATTTAGCATATACTAAACGTATACTTACTGTCACTTCACCCAAGAGAAATGAAAATTTGTATTCACAGAAAAACCTATATGCACATATTTATAACAGCTTTATTCGTAATAGCCCCGAACTGGAAGTAACCCAAATGTCTTTGAACAGGTAAAAGGATAAGCAAATGATGGTGTGTTGGTATGATGCAATACCACTCAGCAATACAATGCATCAAACTATTTACATATGCAGCAATATGAATGCATATCAAATACATTAGAAGTGAAAGAGGAACATGGACACAGGGAGGGGAACATCACACGCCAGGGCCTGTCGGGGGTTGGGGGACTAGGGTAGGGATAGCAGAGGATGGGGGGATAGGGGAGGGATAGCATTAGGAGAAATACCTAATGCAGTTGACGGGATGATGGATGCAGCAAACTACCGTGGTACGTGTATTCCTATGTAACAAACTCGCACGTTCTGCACATGTACCCCAGAACTTAAAAAATAATAAAAATAAATTTAAAAAAGAAGTAAAAGAAGGCAGATTTAAAGGTTACATACTGTATGATTCCATTTATACGGCATTCTGGAAGCAACAAAACTCTTGGAACCAAAGACAGATGGGTAGGGTTGGGGATGAGGAGAGGAATTGAGTATAGAACACTTTGAGATAATTTTTTTAAGGTGCCTGGGCTTTAGCCTCCAAGTAGCTGGAACTACAGGAGTGTGCCACATTTGGCTATGTTAGTTGAAATTGATAGAATTGTTCACTAAGAAGGGTGTCCTTTACTACATGAAATTACATCTCAGTTAAAATGAGCCTAATAGCAATTACTCAAAAGGGATAGTTTTAATTAACTAAGACAGTGTTTCCTCTTGATATGTTACTTCACTGTCATTGGCAAATATTTGTGCTTATAAACACAGCCCTGCCGCAGGGAATCATCTCAGAGAACTTTCCAACCAGCCCCATCTTTATTCTCCCTATTCGGGCTTTGTTCAGGATCTTATCACCTCTCAGGAAGAGTATTGCGTAATATCCTAACTGGTTTCCCCTCTATCTTACCTTCATTGATTCATACTCCATGTTGATCTTTCTTTCACGGCAAAACTATATCACTCTACTTCTCTACTGCAACCCCATTTATAGTTTTCCCTTCCCTGGAATAAAGTCTGAAGTCCTCACTCCTGAGCACACACTCTGCTCCCGTCACCCTTCTTTTTTCTTTTTTTTTGAGACGGAGTTTCGCTCTTGTTACCCAGGCTGGAGTGCAATGGCGCGATCTCGGCTCACCGCAACCTCCGCCTCCTGGGTTCAGGCAATTCTCCTGCCTCAGCCTCCTGAGTAGCTGGGATTACAGGCACGCGCCACCATGCCCAGCTAATTTTTTGTATCTTTAGTAGAGACGGGGTTTCACCATTTTGACCAGGATGGTCTAGATCTCTTGATCTCGTGATCCACCTGCCTCAGCCTCCCAAAGTGCCGGGATTACAGGCTTGAGCCGCCACACCCGGCCTCCCTCACCCCTTCAAATGCACCACACGCTGTATCTGCTTGTGTTTGTTCACGTTTCCATGTGAACGTCTGCCCTGATTCCTTTACATATCTTGCTAACGCATACTCATCCTTTATGATTCAGATAGAGACAGAGCATAGATACTTCCCATTCCTTCCGTGGTATCCTGGGCATGGAAAATGCAATTGTGGCCTGGCATGATGGCTCACGCCTGTAATCCCAGCACTTTGGGAGGCTGAGGCGGGCACATCACTTGAGGACAGGAGTTCAAGACCAGCCTGGACAACATGGTGAAACCCTGTCTCTATTAAAAATACAAAAATTAGCTGAGTGTGGTGGTGCACACCTGTAATCCCAGCTACAAGTGAGGCAGGAGAATCACTTGAACCCTGGAGGCAGAGGTTGTTGTGAGCCAAGTGGTGCCGCTGCACTCCAGCCTAGGTGACAGACTGAGACTCCACCTCAAAAAGCAAAGGAAATGTAACCCTAACTTTTGTGTCTACTTGTATTGTTCTGCCTCAAAACTTTATTCATGCTATCTCTCCTCAGTCTCATACAAGGGCCATTCAGTGAATTTCCTTAAATCATTTACCATTTCTTTAAGGAGCATTGCCTGTGGGAAAGGATCTTTCATGCTAGGCAGCTGGGATGAAGTCCCTGGCCTCAAATAACCCACAACCTACTAGGGGAAAAAGAACTGAAGAAATTAATGATAAGTTAACACAGAATGTTCAGCACTGATAAACACGGAGTGATATCTCTGTGTTTCCAGGTACTTCTATCAATATGCTTCTCAGGGTGATTAATAGCTGGTTTTTGTTGTTGAGAGCCCAGCGTGTTCTTTGAAATGTTCTAGGACCACATGGTGGACTAGAGAGAAAAACCCTCTGTCTTTATATGATTGTATTGGCTTATTAGAGAGAAGAAAATATTTATTCTCCTAGTTTTATTTTTCTGCAATTCTGAAAAGGAGGTTTTAAAATTTATTCTACCAATTTGAAAACTGGGAATCAGAGAGGCTGACTCACAACCAGATCTCAAAGAAAGTAGGGAGACTCTTTGGGGCTGGTATTAGGAATCCAAATACCACGTTCTTTTCCCATCACTTACTCTCCACTTCGACTTTGTCCCTATTGGTTTGAATATTTGTTTCCTCTAAAACTCATGCTGAAACTTAATTCCTAATGTGGCAGTATTAAGAGAGGAGCCCAATAAGAGGTGATTGGGTCAGAAGGAGTAATCCATCCGTGGATAATTAGATTAATAGGTTAAAGAATCAAAGAATTAATGAGTCATCACTGCAGTGGGACTGACTGCTTTATAAGTGGAAGAGAGACCTGAGCTAATGTGCTCAGCCCTCTCAGCCTCTGGACTCTGCAGAGAGTCCCCATTAGCAAGAAGGTCCTCACAAGATGCAGCTCCTTCACCTTGGACTTCTCAGCCTCTAAAACTTAAGAAATAAATTCCTTTACTTTACAACAACCCACTTTTAGGAATTCCGTAATAAGTAATAATGGAGTAAGACGTGTTACTTTAGTGCTTCTCCTTACTTGGTTTTGTGCTCTATTCTTGTATCTACTGGACTCCTGACCTCATTTTAAATTTTATTTCTCAATCTTTGGCTTCTCTTTTGACTCATTGCTAAGCCCAGGATCACAGCTTTTCCTACTCCAAGCTGCTTTGGGTAACCAACATCAGTGTTGATATTTAAGATACTTAACAGCAAGTGCTGCATAGGTACCAACTGTTCATAGCAGACACTGATTTCTCATACTGATGACTGCTAGGCTTGGAACTACCCCTGTGACCAAGCTGCAGCTCAACACCCATACCCTGCATACCCTGGCATTTGTCGACTTGATTAGAATCCCTGATAGCCTTGTCCAGGCCCCTGGTAAAGGATACTTGGTAGAAGAATCTCAGCAAAGTGAAGGTTTGGTATCCTCGCAAACAATGGCAATACAATATATGTGCAAGTGAAGACTTCTCCAAGACATGATGAGAGCTTAGAAGAAAGGATACCTAAGGCCAGAGAGGAAATTAGGGAAGGTTCATAAGAGAAATAATCCTGGAGCGGCTTCATGAATGAGCAGCTTCATTCCTGTGCATGGTTCACAGTGGTGGGTATTATATATGGAAGGGCAGCAGTGTGAATACATGAGGTGCAGTCGGGAACTGATCAGTTAGCACAATGATGTGTAGAATAAAAGAGGACCTACAGTGGGACGAGAGGCTTGATTGCTGGGACAGATGGGAAACACCTTGATATGTCAGACCATGAAGTACCATGCTACACTTATCCTTTGGAAAAAAAAAAAAAAAGGCCTAAAGACCTTCAAGCAAGAAAGCAACAGGCCCGAGTTATCCCATGAGAACACTGTGATAGTGCTGGGAAAGAGAGGTTGCTAATTCTTTGTGATGGTTTTGCCAGAGTGAGATCTCTCAGATGCTGGCATGGCCATGTAGAGTCCATTGTATCCTTGCCTCTTCTCTAAGATCTCTGAACTTGTATGTTCAGATGTGGTTTTGTCAGTTCTTCTAAGGCTAGTAACCTCTAACCTTACATGTTACTTCTTAGGGGACATTGTTAACAAACTGAACATCAACTTACTTACAAAAGAACGTGTATCTGGCCTATAAAATGACACCATAATGCAACCATGGAAACAAATACATCCACCTATGGAAACAAATAAACAATTATCAAAATTGAGAGGCTGGCGAACTAGATGGTATCATGCATTTGTATATTTCTCTAAGTTTTCTAAAAGTTTTCATGTTCAATATCCCACTGGCACTTCATAACATCTCTCTGAGTCAAGCAGGAAAACCAAAAGCTGTAGCTAAAGACTGAGTTAGTATCAATTCAAGCACAAACCAAAGTGTGCTCTCGTGAAGGGAAGAACATCCACAATCAGCATGTGATCCAATTCTAGCACTTACTTTTGGTAGCAAATAATGTAGATCCACTTGAACAAGCTTGTGCAAAAAAAGGGAACTTAATTATTATTAGCATATGGTAATATTCCACAAATCCTAAGGGCTGGGTGCAGCTGGGCCTTAGAAAACTTGTGAATAAAATCTGCAAATGGATTGAAACTTGTAAATACCATTAGGCTACTCTTTATTTTTTAACAGATTTATTGAGGTACCCCATCCATGTGTCATGAAGTTTATTCATTTAAAGTCTACAATTCAACAGTATTTGGTATATTCACAGAGTTGAGCAATCATCACCACAACCAATTTGAGAACATGTCATCATCCCTCAAAGAAGTCCCACGTGCCCAATGGCTCACATCTCACATCCCTCCAAACCCCATCAGCTCATGGTAACCACCGTCTGCTTTCTGTCTCTATCGATTTGCCTATTAGGAACATTGCATGCAAGTGGAGTCATATAATCTGTGGGCTACTATGTCTGGCTTCTTTTATTTACTGCAATATTTTCAAGGTTCATCTCTGTTGTAGCGTCTATCAGTACTTTGTTCACTTATATTGCTGAATATTTCATTGTATGGATATGCCACGTTTATCTACATTCAACTGTTGGACATTTGGGTTGGTTTTACTTGTTGGTTCTTATGGATAAGGCTGCTGTAGACATTTGTGTACAAGTTTCTGTGTTAACATACGCTTTTGTTTCCTTTGATATATAAGTAGGAGTGGGATTGTGGGATCATATGGTAACTTTGCATTGAACATTTCGAGAATTGCGGAACTGTCTTCCACAGTGGCTGAATAACTTTACATTCCCACCAGTAATGTACAAGAGTTCCAGTTTCTCCACATCCTCACTGATGCTTGTTAGTTTTTGCTGTTTTGATCATAGGCATCCTAGAGGGTGGGAAGTAGTATCTCACTGTGGTTCTGATTAATCCATAGCGACTAATGATGTTAAGTATCTTTTTCTGACTTTATGGGTCATTTTAATATCTTCTTTGGATCTATCCAGATTTTTTTAACCTACTTTTCAACTGGGTTGTTCTTTTATTATTGAGTTATAAGAGTTCTTGATAGATTTATATGATTTAGAAATATTTTGTTTCATTCTGTGGGTTGTCATTTAACTTTTTAATGTCCTTTAAAGGACAAGTCTTTAATTTTGATGAGGTCCAGTTTATAATTTTTCTTATGTTGCTTGTGCTTTTGGTGTCATGTCTAAGAAAGTGTTGTCTACTCCAAGGTTACAGAAATTTACTGCTATGTTTTCTTCTAACAATTTTATGATTTTGGCAATTACATTTAGATCTATGATTCACTTTGAGTTAATTTCTGTATGTAGTATAAAAAAGGGGTCCAACTTTGTTCTTTTGTATATAGATAACCATTTCTTTTTAATTTCAACCATCTGCTTCATTATCCTGTTTCTGCAAACTAGTTTTTGTACTTTTGATTTGGATATTTTTGTTCACATGCTAGAAAGTCATAAAAACCAATAGCGCCCAAGTTTATATGTCACAGTTTCAGCCACCTGGGGAGAGGCTAAATCCTATCTGCAGTCTCAGTGTCATATTCTCACTCTGATTGGCCCAACTGATTAAGGTGTATGGCCCTCGACTCTGCCAGTACCAGGGGGAGTCAATCATGACTACCAAGAACTCCCTCTTAAGCATGCAGATCCTGAGGCTGGGCAAATGCTCTATAGGTATCCTATGCATGACTGTGGTTACTGCAGAAAGCATTAGAGTCATCAGATGAAAGGA